ACAGGTGTGACTGGAGACAGGTGTGACTGGAGACAGGTGTGACTGGAAACAGGTGTGACTGGAGACAGGTGTGACTGGAGAGACTGAGGAGAAAGGACAGGAAGAGTCAGATGAGGATCAGGATGAGAAGAACAGACGACGGTCACTCTGAAGTGAGTCAGTCTTTAAATGTTGGAGACTCAGAGAATGTGAGGAGAACACCGGGTCTGAAGATGGGTCAGAACCAGAACAAAACTCTGAGTTTAAAGAGGGAACCAAAGACACGGGTTCATCAGAACCAGTCTGATCTGATCCAGGTCCACAGACCGTCTCTGTAGGGTTTTCTCTCCTCTGGTGCTGAGCCCAGACCTGAGGATTTCTGAGAGATGGATCGGTTCCCAGAACTCCAGGTTCTGCTGGGATCTGAGCTGTGGAACACTGGACCTGAACCTGAATGCCATGATGTCAGAAACACACGGAGAACCAGATCCAGAACAGGAGGTCTGCTTACTGAGGCCAGTTCTGCTCAGATGGATCATCACGTTTCTCTTCAGAACATTTAGTTTTACAGAACCGACCCAACAAAGTTAAAATTATGGACCATACACGGGGCTGCGAGGGCTTTGAGGCTTAACTTGGGTTCTGGAGAATCTGCAGAACCTCAGCAGTTTTTAGAAATCTGGAAATTCCATGGAAAGACCATCAAACCTTTGAGGAATTCCAACAATTCTCTGAAGAACCCAGAGAACCTCTGAAGAACCCCAGCAGTTCTATGAAGAACCCAGAGAACCTCTGAAGAACCCCAGCCGTTTCCTTGTTCAGAACCTGAAACCTCCTGGAGAACCCAGAGAACCTCCGCAGACTTTGCTTCCTGATGTGTTTAACATCTGTTGGCTGGAACATCCAGCTGTTGTCAGGTGAAACACCGTCTGACCGGAAACATGATGCCTGCTCCTTCAAAATAAAAGCAGCAGTGCCAGATGTTTGTCTGTTCGGGACACACCTGACCACAAACAGGATGTGGATCATTTTATTCTTCGAGCTGATTCTGGAACAAACATCTGTGATGTTTTTATTTAGGTAAATATAAAATAAACAATTAAAAAGGTAATAAAATTTTAATTCAACTTTATTTCTACAGGTTAATCCCACTGAGCCTCGGGACTCTTCCCCCCATTTCCATTGACCTTTATTTATCCAGGTAGTGTCGTTGAGCCACGAGAACTCATTTTCTAGAGAGACCTGTTTAGGAGCAGATGGTGGGGTTGAGTGCCTTGCTCAGGGGACCAGGGTGGGGCCAATGAGGGTGGAGGCAGGTGTGGGTGCTTCACCTTTTCCACCCACATTTTGATGTTGACGGTACCGGGAGTTGAACCTGCGACTTTCCGATCACAGCCCCATCTTCTAACCTCTGCACCACAACTCCCCGAGAGACGAGAGACCTGAATTTAACAAAAAGTCATGTGTAAAATATATAAATAAAAAATAACATACATGATTAAACTTTAATTCTTGTAAATAAATTGTGATAATTGTGACTACTCGTGGTTTCATTTAATTTTATTTTGAAGCTTTTTCATAATAAAAGATGTTTGTGCAATTTTTTTAACCAAAATGTTTTATACTGAAGGGCCGACCGGAAGTTGTGTGTTTTATTGTGGAGGTGTTGACAGCGCGTGTGAAGCAGCGCGAGCAGCTGCTTAAATCACAAACTGAGGCTTTGCAGAACTTTTGTTTTCAAAAGTTTTGACGGAACTTTGTTTTGAATTTAACTTCCGGTTTTCCTTTATTTTTATTGTTTGTTTGTTTGTTTGTTTGTTTGTTTTCATAAAATCTTTTTCAGTTTTCTCTTCGTGTTTTTCAGTTTTTTTGTGTTTAATGTTTTGTTTTTTTAAATTTCGTTCTTTTTCACGGGTCGGCTTCTTTTGATCTTTCCTTTCATCTTTTCTTCGGGTTCTGGATCGGTTCCGTTTCTCCTGGGTTCGGGTTCTGGACGGACCGGGCTCTGGTTTAAAGCTTCACAGAACTTGTTCCAGAAAGGAACCCGGTCCGACCCGGTCTCTCCTGTCCCGTTTGTCTGGATTAGAACTCAACATGCAGGTTCTGGTTCTCCTGGTTCTGAACCTGCTCACCTGCCGGGCCGTTCCGAACCGGTTCTTGGGAGGCGGTGGGAACGGAACCGGTCCCGGCGGGGCTCCAGGTTGCGGTCCGTGCGAACCGGACCTGTGTCCGGAGCCCCGCGGCTGCCGGGCCGGGCTGGTTCCGGACCCCTGCGGCTGCTGTGAGGAATGCGGGAACCTGGAGGGCCAGGCGTGCGACCCGGGGGCCCGGAACGTGCGCTACGGTCTGTGCGGGGCCGGGCTGCGGTGCCAGGCGGACCCGGGTCCCGCAGGAGGAGAGGACGAAGAGGAGGAGGTGTGCGTGTGTGAGGAGCAGGAGCCGCTCTGTGGTACCGACGGAACCACCTACATGAACATGTGCCGGTTCAGGGAGGCCGCCTTCTCCGAACCGGAGCTCCGGACCAGAGGGCCGGGCCCCTGCAGGACAGGTGAGCACACCTGACAGGTCCAGGTCCAGTTTCAAGCTGGTTCTGTTCCGACACACAGAGTTTAGGCTCATCTGGAAATGTTCTGGAAAAGGGACAGTCAGAACCAGTAAAGTCCAAAGAAAAACTGAGGAGAGGTTCTGGAGAACTGGTGCAACTGGATCAGGAGGTCAGAACCAGAACCTCAGAACCAGGAAGTCTGAATCTGAATCCTGTCATAAAAGGTCATTACAAGCTGATCCTGGATCGGTTCTGGAGGGAGGGGGGTCGGACCTTGAACCAGAATTCTGTGAAAAAATAAAAACGTTAAAGTTCTGAAAAACTTCAAATTAAAAGTTTCCAACTGAATTTAAGTGTTTTTATTTTCTGTAAACATGTTTAACTGACAGGTTAACCAGGTGAGTTAACCAGGTGAGTTAACCAGGTGAGTTAGTTCTCAGGTGAGACAGGAAGTCAGCACAAACAGGAACAAGGTTTTGAGCATGCGTCAGGATGTTTTATTAAAGGCTTTTACTCTGAAATTACAACATCCTTTTCCTGTCTCTCCCACCTGATGACAGTGTCTCCCAGCTTTGCATCTCTGTCTCCTACCATACCGTACCACTTTATTTATAAAGCACTTAAAACAGCTACAAGGCCAACCAAAGTGCTGTACAGACAGAACAACAGGTAACACACAAAGCAAAATACAAAATGAGGTAAATCAGAATATAGACATAAAAACGATGCAGATAATGACAACAAACCAGTGTGGAGCATACAGGATCAAACACAGATCATCTGGTGTTGAAAGCTACTGAATAGTAGTGAGTTTTTAAACGGGACTTGAAAACTGAGAGGGAGGGGCCTGTCTGACAAGCAGAGGTAACTCGTTCCAAAGTCTTGGTCCTGCTACAGAGAAGGCCCTGTCACCTCTGCGCTTAAGACGAGTTCCTGGAACTGTGAGGAGCAACTGGTCCACTGACCTCAGGGAGTGTGGTGGGACATACGGTTGTAGCAGATCAGAGAGATGGGGGGGGGGACACTGTTCAGTGATTTGTAGACATACATGAGTATTTTGAACTGGATTCAAAAGTGAACTGGTAACCAGTGCAGTGAGGCCAAAACTGGTGTAATGTGCTCTCTTTTGCCTGTACTGGTTAAAAATGGGGCTGCTGCATTCTGGACCAGTTGTAGTCGTGCAATGGAGGTCTGACTGATACCAAACAGGAGTGAATTGCAGTAATCAAGCCTAGATGTAATGAATGCATGTATTACTGTCTCCAGGTTCTTTTTGGACAATATGGGCTTCAGTTTAGACAGCCGCCTCAGTTGAAAGAAGCATGATTTAACAATCATGTTTACATGATTGTTAAGTTTCAGGGAACGGTCCATTATCACTCCCAGATTAGTGACTCTTTGTTTTTCTGACAGGGTTAGAGTGGAGAGGTCGATGCAGTGGTTTGTGATCGTGTCGTTGGGAGGGAACAACATGACTTCAGACTTCTTTTCATTGAAACTTAAGAAATTTAAAGCCATCCAGTCCCTGATGTCAGCCAGGCAGTTGAGCAGCGGTTGAATAGAGCATGTACCATTGTGTCTTAGGGGGAAGTAAATTTGACAGTCATCGGCATAGAAGTGGAAGGGCATGTTGTGTTTCCGGAAAATAGCACCAAGCATCAGCAGGTATAAAGAGAATAGGAGGGGACCCAGGATGGACCCCTGCGGAACCCCCCATTTAAGCTCTGCCTCTGCAGAACTAAAATCCTTGATGGAGACACAGAAGGATCTGTCAGTGAGGTAAGATCTGAACCAATTGAGGGCTGATCCTGTGACGCCCACCCACTGCTCCAACCTAGCAATGAGGACCTCATGGTCGATGGTGTCAAAGGCAGCTGTGAGGTCCAACAGGACCAGCAGCAGAGAATCACCGGTATCTGTGAATCTGAAGATGTCGTTAAAGACCTTCAGCAGGGCAGTTTCAGTGCTGTGGAGAGGTTTAAAGCCAGATTGGAAAAGCTCTAAGATGGCGTGATCCTCCAGGAAGCACTTCAACTGGGACTCGACTATTTTCTCCAGTACTTTAGAAACAAATGGGAGTTTGGAGACAGGCCGGTAGTTGGAAACGACTGAGGGGTCAAGGTTTGGTTTTTTCAGGAGAGGCTGGACAGCAGCACGTTTAAAGGATTTTGGCACCACGCCAGTGGATAAACTACTGTTTACTATGGCAAGAATGGACGGACCTAGAGTTGGAAACACCTCCTTTAGTAGTCGAGGGGGGACCACATCAAAGGGGGAACCAGAAGGTTTCAAGCTGCACATGACCTGCTCTAGAGAAGATAGAGTGATGGTTCAAAATGGTCAAAAGGAGCTACAGGTGGAGGTGGGATGGATGGGTCATGAGTTGGAGGGGAAATGAGAGCCGGGTGGTCGCAATTTTTTCTAAAATGAAATGTAGGAAGTTGTCGCACCGCTGTCTCCTACCTGTCTGTCTGTCTCATCTGGCAGCTGCCTGATGATTCTCACCTGCCCCCACCCCCAATTATGCTGTCCTGTCTGAAGCAGGTGAGCCTGTCAGGCAGCAGTATGATGTCACTCATCTGTCTGTCTCACCTGTCAGCCCCCGTCATTAAGGTGCCCCCTCAGAACCAGGTGAATGGGTCAGGCTGCAGTCTGGTGTTTCTTTGTGAGGTCTTTGCATTTCCAATGGCTCTGGTCGAGTGGAGGAGGGAGGGACGAGACATTGTCTTACCTGGAGACGACCCTCACATCTCTGTCCAGGTACGCACACACCTGTCTGTAGCCCCGCCCCCTGCTAAGGGAACAGTACAGCTTTAGTCCTCTTGTTCGCTGATAGGACAGATCCCAAAGACACCTTCTGATGTCCTCTGTCTCTCAGTCAAGGGGCGGTCCGTTGAAATTTGAGCTCTCCAGTTGGCTGCAGATTGAGGGGGCGGAGCTAAATGACTCAGGAACCTATCACTGCACAGCTCGCAACAACCTGGGATCAGTTTCTGCCTCTGCTGTCCTGGAAGTCCTGGGAGCAGGTGAGACAGAAGACAAGACGGTTCTTACTTCACCTTACCTGTCTCACCTGTCCCTACCTGTCTCACTTGTCTCTACATGTCTCCCATGTCCCTAAAAGTCTCCCCTGTCCCTACCTGTCTCACTTATTCTTACCGGTTCTAACAGGTTTCATCTGTCTCACATGTCCTTACTTGTCTTGTCTGCCCTGTCCTTACCTGTCTTAACTTGTCTCACCTGTCTGTCTGCCTCAGAGGAGCTGTCGTCCTACCTGGCCAACAGTGTGTCTGAGATGAAACAGCTTATGGACGACTACGATCTGGACCTGTACTGATTCACCCGTGATGTCACTTCCTTTGTGTCCAGCAGCGGTCACAGGCTTTTATTTTGGCGAGACATAAGGACAGAGCAGAGGACGTTCTAATCAAAGTGTGTGTTACTTCAGGACGTCACAGAGGCTCAGCGGGCGGGCGTCTCCTGGAGGCTGCAGGTTTGAGTCTGCTCCTCTGAAAGACAAAACAACAACAAGCGTATGTTTAAAGTGTTAGAGACAGGAAGTGAGTTCAGGTTCAGACATTTTCTGGTTTCCTTGTTGTGGATCATCACTTCCTGTTTGTTCGTTTCTTCACCAAGCAGAAGGTTCTGGTTCCTGCCGGTTCTGTCCCCCACACCCGTCTCCAACTGAAGGTTTCTACTGCCAGGAACACGTTCTGTCGTGTCATTTATTTCTAGCGTGAACGTGCAGCATGCAGTGTTGCATGCTGGGATGGAAGCTGTTCCCTTCACCCTCATGGCTCCAAATGTTCAATCTGTCAAACATGAAGAGGATCCAACAAGATGGATGTAAAACCAGTCAGGTGTTGTGCTGAAATCTGTCCCCCTGTCAGCTGAGCCACCTTTCATTAATAAATCTGTGTTTCCTCAGAGCGTTTGATGAGTCGCTGATAATAAAGATTTGATTTCATCTCTGAACTCGTGAACAAAAAGTTACTTGAAAACACAAATATTTTCAGTATTTGGCTACAAAGAGTAAAACTGTTGTGAAATATTAGCCGGCTAGAAAACAGTTAGTTTTCTAAAACAAACAGAAAATTAAAAACAGGAGAATCTGGCGGTTTGACCTCTGACCCCATTTTAACAGCTTGATTTCAGTTCAGGTGAATTTTATTTAAAACTGCACAAAAGCTGTCAGAACATTCTTCTTCTGAGAACTGGACAGATTCTGACCGTCCTCAGCTGCTCAGACAGTTTGAACCCAACAGAACCGGTCTGGACTGGACGTGAACAGAATTCCAGACAACAGGAAGTTCGTGGTCCACTGAAGGCGGCAGAAGCTCCTCTCAGGCTGCGTTCTCCTGAGGAACCTGAAGCTCCGTGTGCTGAATCCATTAACCTCCAGAACCACAGGCTCGGATCCCCTCAGAGTTCTGTTGGTATGAGTGGTATGGTTCTGGTTCTGCAGGACGGACAGGGAGCTCAGTCCCTGCATGAACATTATCTTTGAAGTTCTTTATGAATTTACAAAACAGAAACATGTTTTCAACACGTTCATCTGGTTTTTATTTTTATAAAATTCATTCATCTGGAGCTGGTTCTGAACTGGACACACACACTGTTGGTTTGTGTGTCTCGTGTGTTTTTCAAAGTAAAATGTGTTTCTCATCCTGACAAAGAAAAGAACCCAAACTGAGTCTCAGAGACGTACCTGCGTACATAATTTCATTCCACCTCATGTGGTGGAAACGACAATAAAGTTAACTTGAACTTATTCCACTGCAGGAGGAACCAGAGGACAAAGATGATGAGAAAATGGTCCATCTGACTGATGAGCAGATATTTAGTCATAAATTCATAGTCAAACTGCTTCTTTCCCGTGACCCTGCATGGAAAAGCTGGAGAGAAAATGGAAGGAATGAAAAGGAAAATGTACATTTAGCCCTTTAAAAACATCCTGTATGATAAGGACTACTGCTACACACAGAAAATAAAAAAACAACAATAAAAATGTCACTCGTCTTGGAAATAGGTCTTGAAAGTCAGTTCAGTCATAAAACATCACATCTGGAAATGACTATGAGTTGTAAAACCTCTGGACACCAACCCTGTTCGTTCAGAGGCTGCAGTTCCTCCTCCTCACCAACAGGGGGCGGAAGAGCCGCAGTTCCTCTAACGGCCGCAGTTCCTCC